GGAGAAATCGAATGGACGGAGGTAAGGGCATGCACTAGAATTTTTGAACATATACAAAGGTAAACAATGCACTTTGAGCTAGAAGGAAATTGGGATTGAGCATCAGCAATGGTGGAGGTCCTGTGGCATCCAAACAGAAATCTCGATAACTCGCAATATAGCGACAGAGCCACTCCTACTTTCACCGGTAAAGCATAGCAGGACAAGCCACACCAGCCCCGCCACGGGCGACGGCACCACCACTGGCATCGATACCAGAGCAAAGACAGACAGCGACACGGTCCACGGCCACAGTCACAACCATCAAAGGAGAGCTGCTTTTGAGGACATTATCGAATACAGAGAGGAACCTGAACTAGACAGCGGGAGCGAGGATATAAGCGGGTTTGAGAGTGGAGCACCATTGGGGTCGCCCAGAATGCGGTACACAGATTGGAGTTTGGGATATACGAGGACCCAGAATGATGCAGGCCTGTGGTGGAGGCCCTCGCCGGGTAGGGGAGGCGGAGTTGAGGGGTTTGAAGGGGAGGTTTGCTGGAACGCACATCCAGCACGCCCGGAGCTACCCTGAACTCCCTCTTATTTCCATATATTAGCTTATTTGTTCTCCGTCGCTTGATTTTCCTTTGCTACTATGTTATTGTTTCTTTTAGACCCTATTACGGCGTTCTTGGCTCTGCAGTCAGCATACTTTTCGTCAGCTTACTTTGCGTCAGCTATCTTGCTTGTTTCTTTTGCTTGTCTCTGATTCTTAAATCAGATGATCCCTGCTTGTTGTTACCCTGATATCTCCGTGTATATAGACAGCTCTTTTTTTTTTTTTGGTAAATCAGTACTTGCATTGAAGCATCTCGCTTATGGCAAGGCAGCGCATCCCCCAGGTTAAGCCTGACGGGATTATCCAACCACTGGGCCGCTCCCTGCCCCGTATCTACGTACATGCGAAATTCAGCTACCACAACCCCGCTATCACTGCCCCAATCACCCCCGGACTGCCTCCGCCAGCTTCTCGCACCACTCCGGATCTTCCCATATCTGCTCCCATTCCCGCCCTTTGCCATCCGCCACCCCAGGACAGCGCAGTAGGTGTGCAGCATTCTGTGCCACCCCCTCCCCACACAACCCGCACGACGAGTCATCCGCCCTGCCTACCTTATGTAGCCACCAACGCTGCGGTCCGCGGTCGGTAACCATGTATGTCAACCCCCGTAGGGCCTCCCGGTTCCACTTTGTCTGCTTGGACGGCCGCCCCATGGGAAAAGCCTGTCGGATGCCTGCCGGTGTGATAACGTCAGGTCGTAGCATCCTCCTGCCCACCCATGCCACCTCCTTCGCCTTCCTGTCTGCCCTCTCATTGCCTTCCACTCCACTATGTCCTTTTACCCACATCACCGTCTTGTGGCCCTTCACCATCTCCCCCACTGCCAACTCCTCTATCCACGACCGTGGCTGTTCGAAGCGTAGATTCTGCAGTCGCCTGATGGCGCCCTGGCTATCAAGTGCCACTGTCGTCCTTCCCGCCTGCCATGCTCGTACCACTCCCAGCATCTCAGCGTCCATCACCGTGGCAAGAGAGCCCAAGTATACACCCTCCTCCCACTCCTCTCCCGCCTCTCCTCCCACTGCTGCTGCCGCCGCCACCCCTTCCTGTCGTGACCCGTCCGACCATGCTGTCACTTCCCCAGCATCCAGCTCCGCAATATCCACTTCCCTCCCCGCAGTTTCGTCCCCTCCAGACATCCAGTGGAGCACCGCGTCCGGTTCCAACACTCCCTCCAGTATCCCTTTCGCGGTCTCCCTCAGCGCTGGCAGTGCCCTCCCATAAACCGACGCTGCCCACCGGATTCTCTTCGTCCACATCCATGTTTTCAGATCTGGGATTCCAGTGATATCCTCGATCTTTGTCCTCGCACTGCCCCTCCACCCCCCGCATATCCACCTTCCCCACTCTGCGCTCAACCTCTCCATCACCTCTGAAGGTTCTGTATGCAGCTCGGCACCAATATAGACAGCTCTCTGCGGCTCCTCTGTGCTTTAATCAATACAAGCAAGTATTCACCAGCATTGGCCTCCCTACCATTGGGCACCTTCTGCCACAAGTGTACTCTATCAGAACCTATCTCCGCCGTGCCTATTAAAGTCTTATCCCCATTAATAAGATTCTCTCTCTTCTTCTATTTCTCTTTCCTTTATCTTTTTACCTTCTATCTCTAGCCCAGAGATGTAGAGATAACTGTAATACAAGTACTAATTGAAAAAAAATAAAAAAGTGCGTTTGCCGTAAAGCTTGTGGGAACTACAACAGCAGTAGAGATTTCGCCCCACCCGTTACCTTTCGACGTACCGTAATAATTACAGGTCTTGCATACTTACTCTTCAGGGAAAGCAAATCGTCTCACGCCAATACACCCTGTGTTTGGCCGAGAGGGGCGTAGTCCCAGAGAGCTGGCCATGGCCCAAGGCCATAATGTTACGGTAGTACCCACCATCATTTTATCATGGCCCGTTAACTAACTACCTAAGTATCGAGACAACTGCTAAGCATCCTCGTAGCCAGACATCGAATACACAAAATAACTGTCATCAAACAGCAGCAAACTCGACTACAAGATTATTCTTTTATCACACCAACATCTACTCACCCTCAGTTACCTAATTACAAGCCTACAAGAAATCCAATACTTCTTGAAGCATCTACGATGGACACTAAATCAAATAGCACCTGCTCATCACAGGTTAAGGAGAATCAAACCGATCCACAGCCACCACAAAAATTGCAAGAATTAAGCACCAAACCAGACGTTAAGAAGGAGACCATATCCAAGAAAAAAATTGATGCATCTTCAGCAGGCAATAAAGGCAAACCCAAAAAAGGTGTAACATCATCAGGTGATACAGGCAAGCCTAAAAAAGATGTAACATCATCAGGTGATACAGGCAAGCCCGAAAAAGATGCATCAACCAGCAATAAAAGCAAACTCAAGAAAGATACATCATCATCATCATCATCAGATAATAAAGCCAAATCCAAGGACACAAAGCTGACCCCAAAGAAAGCTGAACAGGTTGAAAAGCTGACAGCACCAGTAATCAAAGGAGAAGACAAAGGCAAAGAGACAACACTAGGAAACAAAGAAAAAACCAAGGCTAAAGGAACAGCAGCAGGAGACAAAGACAGAGCTAAAAAGGAAGGAGGATCAGGAAAAGAAGCTAAGACTGTGCTCAAGGCGACAAGCCCGCCCGCCCCCCCTGCACCACCTGTTGGTTTGGAAGGAACAGCAGTCGTCGTTCATGGTATCCCCACCTACAGGCTAATCAGCAATCTGCTTATCAAGCTGGTGTTGCTTCCAGAAGGTACAGAGATAACGGCATTACGTTGGCTCTTGCCACTGGCGAAAAGGGCTGGCAAAAAGGCCAGTTCACTGGTGGTATATCTCAACACAGAACAGGTACCCGAGGATCTGGAGATAAGGCTGGGAAAGAACAAGATGCGAATAACTCTGTACCAGCATGATCGTGCCAAGGAGGAGCGTAATTCTGGAGAGGAGGAGGGTAATTCAGGAGAGGAGGAGGGTAATTCAGGAGAGGAGGAGGGTGACTCTGGGAAGACAATCCCAGCGGCTAGTGAGATATCCGGTGTCGCTGCTACGAAAACGGCGGCACCTGCAACAACTACGCCTGCTGCCGCAAAAAAGATGCCGGCTGCTGGTAACAGTACTGGGCATGTTGACAACAACCACAGAGACTCAAGCGAAGAGCGTAGGCTAGGTGGGGCAGGTAGCGAAGGACCACCCCAGGGCCCAGCCCTAACCCCAGACTCTTTGAAAAAAAAGTAGGCATACCGTTGGGCAGAAGGGCAAGTCTAGAGGCAGTAATGAAAGTCTGTACAGCCTCACAATTCGGGTACGGAGGGAATTCTCAAATATTTATCCGAAAATAAAATAAGTCAGTAGTTATTTCGTTTGGGCCTCCAATTTTCTTTTTTGGAGTCAATACTCGCATACGGCGTAAGGCCATGGCGAGGTTCCAATTTTGTTTCGACACTGAAGGAGATTTTTGCTTACTGTAGTTATATGTCTGTAAATTACTTATTATACGGTGGATAAAACTCGAAGCCTTGGTTTCTTTTCCCTTGGCCATATCGATGTTTACCGAAGTATCACTATCCAACCAGACTACTGTTATCCTACTTCAATGTTAAGGCGCGGCTGGTATACCGGAATAGTGTAGGCTTAGAGTATTATACTAAGTACAGCATTTGTGATTGCTATGTTATTAAAGCAATCTGGAGCTAAGTACTGTTGTGAATTCTACGGTATGCTTACCGTGAGGATTAAGCATCAAGAGGTCGAATTGAGGGTAACAGAATTAAGGTAAGTGAGGACAAAATATTGGGTGTGATAATCCATAATTTCGTAAAGGAAAACCTATCGCAAATGCCACGACAGTCCGTCAAGTTTGGTTAATCCTTCGAGCTCTGCGATATGACACCTTGTAATTGCAGCCCTGTGACTAACCTCCGGTATATTATAGACGGGACCACAGGGAAGAGGATCGACGGGTGATGAGGCGTCTGCGAGCTGGTTTATTTTATCCTTTTTTTTTTCTTGAAAAAAATACAAAGTATTTCCTTTCTCATTCTAGCTCGTCATACGACCCTTGAAGTTGTGCGAGTAATGAGTTTTTTCTTTAAAATAGAAAAACGGGGGATTGGTGAAGATGTTTGCTTTTGGCTCTCTGCGTTTGGAATATATATGTGCCTTATTCTGCCTGTCGTCATGCTTTCTCCAATGCACGTTCGTGAGATATTATGGGTGAGAATCACAGGAAGAGGAAAGTCCATCCAATAGAGGGTAGCGTGAGCAGGCTTCTGTGATCTATCCTTCAATTCGCTCTTTTTCAAGATGCAATCACTCGAAGTTCATCCGTATGCTGGATCTGTAGTCTCATGCCAAGACCCTCTGGGCGACCTTGGCATGAGACTAGGACATCGGTGAGTGGAGGATGTTTGGGACTTGAACCCAGACCACCTGCTCTCTGCATATGCTAGCAGGACTTTACAAAGCAGGAATCATACCAATAGACTACTGTGCCTTTTGACTACTCTAGTCAACAAGTACTACAAGTTGTGGAAGAGTCCCGTGTTTTCTTATTGATATTCCCTTGGGCCAGGAGCGCCAAGCCAGCAGATTACGTTGCTCCCGTGCTGTCCCTCCACATCCACCAAACATCGACACTCCTCCCAGTAGTTTGTCAACTTTAATTTGGAATGGACCCTGGAGCCGGGATAGACTCGCGCGCTTGATTCTCCAGTCATTTATCACAACTGCCCTCCTCTCCTACGCCAGACTACTTCTTGTACAACTTTCAACACAACGAGTTCAGCAAATGAGAGTGATGACAATGACAGCAATGCCACTCCCGGGCCCCAGTGGTCAGCACTGAATCACAAAGTATCTCACTCTCATTCTCAGCAGCAAGTAAATCCCGGGATGCTTTTGGGCAGGCCAAACCCACCGGCACCAGCCAGTGGCTAGTGCGCGCTATGCAACAAGCAATGCAATACTTTGATTCAAGCTATCTACTTATATACATACAACAAAAAATTTAACAAGAGCGTGGGTTAAGAATAATGATATCTTGCGTCTCTTGAACAGGTACGCCTTCAACGCCCATCTCTCTAGAGTTCCCGGTAGCAGCCTTTTGAACACGGCACTTGCGCTGGCGTTTGCTAAATCGCTCTGCTACCTCCACTCCGGTTAAAGCTCTAGACCGGGTTGATCCATGGGACTTCTTAGATTGCAAAATTGGCGGCGCAGTTGATGTGACAAAAGCCTCTGGTGCCAGGTCAACATTATCTTCTGGTCCCAAATTCACCGGATGTGGGACAACTGGCAATTGGTAGTTGTTAGGTATCCGAGGTTGGAATTCTCTAGGAATGCCTAACTGACGCTCGTGAGTAAACTGAGCTTGCAGCTGCTGTGTTACGCGCTGATGTAGTAGGGCATATCGCTCCACATCTTCACCATTCAGTGTTCGCTGAAATTGTTGTTGTAGACGCAGATTGTTCACTAAGAGCTCACGTCCATTATCTTGAAGCCGGTCTACCAAGGCAGTAGATTGAGCTGAATTAATAAACTCCGTTGCGACTGACCCCTCAGAGGTTGAATCAATGTTAGAGGTACTAACACAATTGATGTCGATAGTAGGGAAGCCCCAGCAAGTTGGAACAATGGCTGGTCCATCAATAAGCCAACGTCTTGTCTAAAACTTCTAGGAGATTGGAAATCCTATCATTTCTGTCGATGTAAAAGCTGAGTAGATTGGTTATATGAAAGCCCAGCATCACGATGAACAGCTGCCTGACTTCGAGCTTCCATAAACTCCTTATGCCGATATTGCTGAATCAGATAAGTATGTGGGTTTGGAACCATGTCATGTGTATGTATATGGTTATTGTCTTGTATTGGAACTACAAGCACCCACTGTCGATCTGGACATCCGGGTTGAATCAAGTTATAAGACACTGACACCGCCCATTTATACTCCTTTGCTTGAGTCTACTCTCATTAGTACATATCATTACAATTGATTCATGGTGTTTAGTTACCTTTGTCCTTCACTGCCTTAATGGTCGCCCATCAAGCTCTTGATCTGGATTATGTAGTTGGATGTCTTGTAAATCCCGATAATTTCGGCGTTGCCCATGATGAATACAAGCATAACGAACCCGACCAGTAGCAATTGAACCTGCAGTCTTTACTATTGCAAATCCCATAACAAATGCATAGTCCTGAAGCCGAGCGAATGCTGCATCTGGGTTGTCAAAGGTTTCTCCAGATGTTGGTGCCTGGCGATGAGAAACAGTGATGGAATCGACTGCAGCTTGAACTGCCGGAATCAGAGCAGGATCAAGCCGTGGGTGTGGAGCCCAGGCAGGAAGTTCTGACACTATGGCCTGATGAGCCATCGAGAGAGTTCCTGGTGTTCGTTCCTGTCAGCGCGTTTGTTGTTGTCAGAGCGTTGTTGTAGTGGTCAGAGTGTTGTGTTATGGTGAAGCGTTGTCCTGTCAGCCATAGCTAGCCTGCATTGCTTGTTGCATAGCGCGCACCAGCCACTGGCCGGTGCCGGTGAGTTTGGCCTGCCCGGAAGCATCCGGAGTAAATCCATTACAATCCCCCTTGAATTAAGTGGCCATGCTTGAAGCCTGACCCTCTCACGCAAAGGCCCGGCGGGATGTCTATATCTGACCCTACTATGCCGGCAATCTCTCCCCTTCCTATAGTAATCTATCGACTACTCTGCAGTCTGGCACTTCTCTGGAAGCAACAGCTGTCAGGAGAAGCTGCGCAGCTGCAGGCTACAATCCAGGAACCCTTGTCAATTTCCATGACCACCGTCTTGCCCACGCACAGCTTCACTCTCAAACCTCGATTCAGATACAGGAAGAGTGTCGAGGCCATTGTCCCCGGCAATAGCTACAGTGCGGTGCCCCACCGAACTCCAGGTGCCCTCAATGGTGCCTATAATTGGACCCACAGGTGAGGACATCCGTATGCCATATCGCCCCAGAAACTCGATGATGGTTTCCTGAGTACTTCCCACCCTCCTGCACACATACGTTCTTCATTTTCTTGACACATCCCCAAGAATCTCGATGGCTCAATAACAATCCCAATCAACATTTACGCTGAGCTAGTTTCTTTCGCTACCGACAACATTAATATACCTAACGGACCCCCGCGCAAACGCTCACATGGCTATCGCTCGATATCGGTGCTGGAAGGGCGTCAGGGCCAAGGGCTAGCATCTCGAAGGAGAAGAGGTAGTGTTATGTCATCAACTCTATTAGTCAATATGTAAGAGATGGCCTTTCACTATATTTAAGGCTTCTTTGATTACCAGCTTGGGTAGTATTTGCCTGAGCATTCTCCTATTTGAATCCCCCCCCCCCTGGCTCTTCCCCCCAATATCACATATGTAGAAGAGGGGGGAAAGAAGGGTAAAAAAACAAAAGTAAAGAAGTTGCTAGCATGTAACCTTTTTTGATTTTTCTCCTTTTGAGGAATTTTTTCTTTTGGGTATGCCACTACACTCGTATTGAAGCTGCCCAGCTTATGACGAGGCAGCTTATCCCAAGGTCAGGCCTGGAGGATTACCCAACCCCCTGGCTCGTCGTTAACTTAAAGATGTTGTTGTGTGTAGCCTTGAAGGTACTCCAGTAATTTACTAGGTAGTTAAATAGTAGATAAATTTTTCGGAAGTCTAAGTACTTACTGGTTGGTGAACTTAATGGTTCATTATCCTCACTTTGCCTTCATTAACAAGCATACATACCTACTGTCCGTGGCAATCGTAGAATTGGCTAGTCTGGGACGCATTCTCCCGGGTGGATCGGGCTACCCTTAGTCTGGAGGGGGGGGCGGCCTGGTTGGGGCAGCGGTAATCTGGTTGAGGATTGAACCCGAGCCTCTTGCAAATCTAAATTTTTCTCGGGGGCTCGGAATACCCTATCGATAACACACCACTCATGGGCATCTCCTCTCCTCAACTCCAATATCTGACATCTCTTCCCTTTCTATCCACCTTTCTATCATTGCTGCCTTCCCTCTCCCGCAACAAGTTACATTCCCGATTATCACAACTTGCCCATTGCTCTTAGCTTTCTTTCCGCTTCTGCTGCCGACACCGTGGATTGAGGTATACTACCAATACCTTGTCTTCGATTAGTGCCCAGTCACCATTGCCTTTAATTGAGATCTCTCGTCCTTTGAACAAGCCCACTAGGAGCTCCCTCGATCTGTAAGTTGGCTACTTCGTAGCTGGCGTGTGTTTGCCTCCGCCCCTGCTGAGCTACCTTCTTGCTACCCCAGGCCCTCTGGAACCCTCTCCGTCAGTACAGCTTGAAGGACTCGATATCATAAGTCAGCCTGCCTCGGTTGGAAGGATCAGACCAAGAATGAACACCTCTGTGCCGATGAGAAGGTACGACGGCGCAGGTTACGGATCCGATGCCGAAACTGAAGCTCCTCAAATTCCCGTTATAAAAGTTAGAAGGAAATCTTCGGGGTCTAGCCCTGGCAATGAAGAAGCTCCTCAGGATGGGGTTTCTACAACTATTCAGAGTGAGGGGTTTAGAGCTTGTATCGCCTCCAACGAGCTGACCCTCTTGACTCCGATCACCACCGCTACATCTATTCCATCTACCACCTCAAAGCAAATCATCTCTAACGAATCCTTCAAGGCCCCAATTCCAGAGGTATTTACTAACAGAAAACTTGCTCTTGGTGATTTTCCCGAGAATATCGACAGGATCAGGAGCTTTGAGTCGAAAGGACCATCTCCAGCTCAGACGATTGTACGGAGGCATTCCTGGATGAGTGATCTACATCATCAAGTAGAGGAGGATGTGGTGTGTCTCGGGGGGCAGCATAGGACGCATGCCCCCTTTCTGGGGGAAACGATTCAGAAGCCGGGCAGACTTAGCGAAGGTGACGCATCCGATGCCACAGTGGGGAATGGGGTGCTAGGCAAGCACGACAATAGAGGCTCTATGAGTCCGAGGCCGACAAATACGACCCGCAATAAAAGAAAGTCTCGGGCCACCGCAAAGCAAATAGATACAAACCGACTGGCGAAATCAAGCAACCGAATGGTCTCTGCCTCCTCTACCAACACCGTCATTAGAGTTGGCAATTGTTTCACGGATAATCTCTTTACAAAACACAAATCTCGCCCCGAAAAAAAGGGCAAACAACGCACTTCCGTAAGGTCATGTGCTCCTCTCGGGAATGCTACGTTCAGCTTTCCGAGCAACGACAGAGTTATTCAGCTACCCGCACCTGACCTCCCACCCGCCAATACGCTTACAGGATGCTCAAAACAAAGCCTCAACCTTGACGTTCTCAAGAGACATGAGCGTGCTGAATTTGAATGTCTTCGTGAAGAACATCCAAGGGATGATGAATTGACCCAATTCGCGACCCAATTACCCACCTTGGATCAACTACAGGGATATGAAACCTTTGACGAATTCAATGCCGATATTGAGAGACACGACTCCGAAGAGGTGGGGTTCTTCAAAAAGGTTGTGC